AAGAAAGCTACACCTCCCAATATATTCCCTCTCCTATGGCACTGTTAAAAGGGTTATAGGGAGGCCTGATCCACTTTGCATCTGACGTCATTTCCTAGGGCATCGCTGTTGCTAGCATTGTGCTGCTGGGGCTGATGGGAAGTTGAGGTCCAAAATAAGTGGAGGGGGCACCAGGTTGGCGCAAAGGTTGGTTGCCAGATGAACTTAGACAATGGTGGGAATCAACATGTTCCATACAGTTTAGGCTTACCCGTTTCAGGGAGGTGGAGAGATGACCCTTGGCATCCTTTCCAATGGCCTACAATTATTTTTTAAAATTTATTTAAACGAAATTTTATTGAAAACTTTTTCATAATTACCATATGATAAAGAGACTGATCTTAATAAAAACAGAGAATGAAACGCTGAAAAGAAAACACCAAGAGGAAAGGATAATAAATAGAAAATAAAATAAAGGATTCTGATTTTCCATTTTGTCGGCTCGTAAAAGAAATTATTCAAAATATTCGCTCTAGAATGACACCCAAACTGTTTTTACTTTTGTTTAGGCCAATATCTTTCCCAAATTAGATTAATTCGATTTTCCTTTTTTACACAAAAGCCAAATGAGGTTTACAATTGTATGATTCTATGGGTCATCCCATCTTGCGGCAAAGATAATTTGGGGTTAGTTTTTCTTAATACTGTACTATTTGTATCTTCAGAATTGTTTTCTGCAGCTAGCTAAAAAAACCTATTGATAAAGTTAAAATACAGAAAATCTGCTTTATATAATCCTTTGAAACCCTTTCATGTATTCAGGGGTAAGTGCACCACAATTTGGGGAACAGTGCCGCAACGGATTTAGCCCGAAACTGAAAAGATCGCTCAGATTTTTAGGGGGCTCTTAAAATAAATCAAGGTCAAAATCAGCCACTGATTTTGCTCTTTTGGCCTGCTGGTAAGAGCATTACAATTTTTAAAACACAGCTCAGAAACAGTTGGCACCACTGTCAGAAGAAACAGCCAGTAAAGGACATTTAAAAAGAGATACCGGGGTAACCCTGCCAGTATTATTTAATTGCTCGCTTCCATCAATGAAGCTGCTACATCCATTAAAGTTGCACTCTGCATTTAGTCCTGGGAAGAGCAAACTCATCACCGTAATTTTTAGTTTAGGTCTCCATTTCAGGGATGCTACCAGGCCAGCTGTTTCAAAACAAGACTTTTATGTTATCCCAAACTGACCACTGCATTTTTTGTTTTATTGAATTTTTTATTAAATATTTCAACACAGAATTTTAAACAAAAAACATCATCCACATTGTCCCCCCTCCATTTTCCCCCCTCCCACCCCTAAACAGGGAAAACCACCCTCACCCCCATACTTCCCTTCAGCCCTCCTTTCTCTGGTTTCTCACACATCTTTCTATCTGCATATTGTAAACTTGTTAAAATCCTCCAAATTATCATCTATCTATTACAATAAAGGTTTTGTGGAATTGTTTATTTCAAAACCTGCCAAAGAGTCCAGTTAATTTTGTAGCTTCCTTAAGTATTCGTAAAAGGTTCCCATTCATTCTTTCAAATCACAGTTACCCTTGTCACATAGTTTGTGTGTCAGTTTTTCCAATTCCTACATAGTCCCATCAGTTTTGCTTTGCCACAGTTCTTTCGTATGGATTTCCTCATTCCTTCCATCCTTGTGCTATTAAGACTCTTGCCGCCCCGTTGCTCGCATACATAAAATATTTTTTAAATTTCTTTGGCAGTTTTCCCACAATCCCTATTAAGAAGCTTCGGGCTTTTCCCACAAATGTTAATGAAACATTGTTTTTTTAACTCATTATATATCATTTCCCAGAAACAATTTTTAATTTTACTACAATCCCACCCAAAATGACCCTGCATTTTAGAACCAGGTTGAAGTTTCTGGGTCGTCTGCAAGGGCAGCCCCATGCAGAGTGCATTTGCAATTAACCAGCTTCAGTGACCCATGCACTCCCTTTTTGCCCTGCACAGCTGACCCACAGGGAACAAACTGCCAAACTCTCCTGTTTCTTGAACATAAGATATTGGGTCCTGTGAGCCAGTGCACTGGCTGCAGAAAGGTTTACTTTGTAAGCCACTTAGAGTTTGAGGGTTTTTTTAAAAAAAAAATTTTGGTCTGTACACTGATTAAACAAATTAAAAGGGTTCAAGGTAAGGGAGGACCAGGGCAGCTTCCCTTTAAAATGCCACAGCTTGGAAAATATTTTGGGCCTTCTTATTTCCTCCCTGTTCAAGAGTTCCCTTGGCAGGTTCTCGATTTTCTTTTGCAAGATGAAAACAAGAAAAGAGGCCGCCTTAGTGTGGGATCTGCAATCAGTTACTCCTACGAAAACAGGATCTTAATTTGACTTGTCTGTGCAGGGAAGAAAGAATCCACTATAAACCAGGGCTTTCCCTTGGAGCGGCTTTCTTCCTGCTATTCATGCTATCCACAACACCGTTTTAACGGTAAAGGTTGCTTGCAAGCATGGGTTTGCAGAGTGGTCCGAAGAATGATTGCTTTTGGCTGGAGCTTACAAAATCGGATACATAGTGGGGGAACGAAGAGGGGCAGAAGGTAATAGGAATTTAGGAAGCTTGGATTGGAAAACTTAACCCAGAGCGACATTTTGAGCTCGCGGGCTGGGAATATTTATCCAGAAGATTTCTGTGCCCTCGATTTATCACGTGGGTTACACGGAGGAACCTCTTGCTCTCCCAGATGTTGTTGAAACCCGATCTCTTCAATAGCCCCGCCCAAGCATGGCTGTTGGTCAAGGATGAATGGGAGATGTTAGATCAGCAATATTCTGGTAGGGCCCACAGCTTCACAGCCCCTGCCTTAAAGTAATTCAAAAACCAAAATGTGCGGTGCTTCCTCAACAGCCAAAAATTAGCGCAAGTACATTCGCAAATAAAAATATTCTGTTTCCAGCACCAGCCTAGGCATTCCTCTGTCCATTTATTGCAACATCTAATATCCAAAGGTTGTACTGCCTCTAGTACATGGATGTTCCATGTAGCTTACTCATCGTTAATAGTCTCGACACCCTATCCTTCCACAAATGTGGTGAGTCATTTTAGAAGCCACCTTACCTGGGGGCAAGTTATTTTTGAGAGGTTAAAAAAAAGTTGTGATGGGCTAAAGAAAACTTTCTCAGAGCAGTTGTCACACCCCCAAAAAGTTCATTTTTAGCAGTGCCCTCCTTTCTTGTTCCTTCATTCATTTACCACTTCTTATTAGGAGTTCTAAAGCTTAGGGTTGCTATATTTCAAAAATGTTGAAAATCTGAGACACAAGCTTTTCCCCAGCGATTTCTGCCAGGACGCGGTCACATGTTTTACTGGCTCTGTCTGGGGGAAAATTCTTGGACGTATGGCCACCCTACCAAAGCACTCCATTAAAATAGCTCTATCCCTGCCAGGATATCTGATCACGCTAATTAGGTATGCTAGAGGAGACCTCCCTAGCAAAGAGGGTTGATTGGCCAAAAACTTTTGATGTCTTTTTAAAAGATTAGTCTTTAAAAGATTTAGTCCAAATTTCCGTGAAAGATAAGGCCATCAGAGCCTACTAGCCCCTGGTTGTCTTCTCCTTGCTCTGGAGGTTAGGATTCGACCCATGGCTTCAAGTACAAAGAAGGAAATTCTGACTAAGCATCAGAAAGAACTTTCTGACAGTAAAAACTGTTTGAAAGTGGAATGACACACTTGCGAGGTTGTGTACTTCCTTCCTTGGAGATTTTAAAAAGCGGAGGTTGGGTGTCCATCTGTTCCTGTATGCTTTGGTGAGATTCCTTGAATTGCAGGGTGGACTAGATTTGACCCTTGAGCGTTCCCTTCCGAACTCTACCAATTTTACGATTCTATGATTTTCTCCCAGATTGCTCATCGTTTCCCTCCTAGCTCCCTTTCCCTTTTGCCCTCTTGGGTGGAATCGACATACATATAAAAACGCTGTGAAAATTGGCTTTTAAAAAAAAGTTTTGAAAAATACATTGAATGGGCATAGCTCACTGTCTTCCAATCTAGCGTCATGTTTGTATATTGTACTTCCCAACACATTTAAAGCTTTTATTTGCAGCTGTATAAGCCTGAGTCCTTGGTTACTCACTTTCTATGCAGCTTCTCGGGTACCGTCTGAGGCTTTAGAAACACACAGGCTGGGACAGAGTACCACTCTTCGCCAACTTCCTCCTCCTCCTCTTCAATGAAGTTTGAAAAAAGTTAACCAACCTTCAGCACCCCTTGACAAATGGGGCAAGCAAGCCTAGAGGTGGGCTCAGAGGCCTTCGCATGTGCAAGGGGATGTTCTCCAAGGCCCCCCTTGAGCCACAAGTACCAGTTGGTGACGAAGGATGCAGGTTATACCCTATCCTGCTGTTCCTCTTAGGAATTTGGAGCAGCCTTGCTCTGCTCTGCCATCCAGACAACTTAGATTCACTTACCTGCTTTAGAACAGGGCCCAATTGTGACTTTGAAAGCAACTACTTTTAATGACTACCACAAGCAGAAGCGAATTAGAAACAGCCCACGCCCGTTCTCTTTAAATAACTTGCAGAAGGAAGCTAACATTAGCACACTGCCAAACTCTTTATTAATAAATGATCTCCAGGTCTGGACCATTCATTCCCTTGCAGTAGGATACGCAATCTAACCCAAACGAGAGGACATGAGATTCCAGGTATGATTGTGGTTAAATGGCTTAATTATTTGTTGCCGTTTTGTTTTGGCTGGCTGAGACGCCAACCAATTATTGTTACTGCAGAATGTGTTTTGTTACCAGTTCTGTGGGTGGAAGAAGTATCCGAACAATCTCATATCTAGGTCCAATTCACATTCCTTTCTGTTTTTTTGGAATGTGAATTCTACATAATGGAACAGTAGCCAAAAATGACCAGACAAGTGTGCCAATAGGCTTGGCATTCATGTGGCACGCCAAGCAAAACTCAGGCAACAATTGTTGTTGTTTTTCTGGAGAACACTCCCTTTCATTCTGAACCAAACATTGAATATATCTGGTTCCCATTAAGCCAAACAACTTCCAGCTTTGTTAGCTTCTCCAGATTCTCAATAGTTGAAATCATGTTGCAATAGAGGTAAAGCTTTTGCAGCAAAGCACATCTTTGCAAACCATCGATCTTCTGAAAAGAAGGGAGCGTGCGTCAGCTTTAAGCACCAGCCGGAAAAGGGAGAAAAGTGCACACTTGAGTAAAATTACCTGGTCGGGGGAAATCCCACCAATCGCAGGCCCACCAAAGATGTTCCAGCCAGCCAATCAGACGTGCTCTTTTCCAGGAAACTCAGTTCCCTTACCCTTTTCACCCCCTCAGCCCCCCACTCCTGGACTTCAAAATGAGAGGGAAAGCCAGCTGGCCAAGGGCCCATCCACCCTTCCTTGCCCACTGGAAAATAAAAGGCTAAAATAAAAGCCTATTAAGCCCACTTACTGTCAAGCAGCATTCGGCCACCCATAGCTCTTTAAGTACCAGGCAGTACTGCAGGTCAGAAATCTCTTGGATGGCTTGTCTGACGAGAACCAGCCTCGTTAAATTGGGGAAATGTGACAGGCCAACTATTCTGGGGTAGCCAGAGAAAAACATCTCCAGGCTCCTCACCGAAGATCCCTCTAGGTCAATTCTGTCATAAGACAGTCCATTACAGGTACACTGGAAGAAGAGAGACACAACCACTGTTATTGATCTCCTTCTAGATGAGAAAGAGAAGTCAAGCGCATGCCAAAATGTGTCATTGATGTCGTTGGCTATGTTTAATAATAATAATAACAATAAATTTTATTTATACCCCACCCTCCCCGGCCAGAACCAGGCTCAGGGCAGCTAACACCAATAAAATTACAATAAAACGTAATAGAAAAAGAAAAATCAGTTAATTAAAATACAGATTAAGATACAATTTAAAATGCAGTCTCATTTTAGTAGCAGCCATAAATCAAAACCATAAGAGGAGGGAAACATAAGGGTCAAACTGAGTTCAAACAAAGGCCAGGCGGAACAGCTCCATCTTGCAGGCCCTGCAGAAATATGTCAAATCCCGCAGGGCCCTGGTCTCTTGTGACAGAGCGTTCCACCAAGTCGGGGACAGTACTGAAAAGGCCCTGGCCCTAGTTGAGACCGATCTAACCACCTTGTGGCTCGGGACCTTCAAAGTGTTGTTATTTGTGGACCTTAAGGTCCTCCACGCAGCATACCAGGAGAGGCAGTCCCGTAGGTACAAGGGTCCTAGGCCACATAGGGCTTTAAAGCTCCAAACCAGCACCTTAAACCTGACCCTGTACTCCACCGGGAGCCAGTGCAGATGGTAAAGCACTGGATGAATGTGATCCCGCAGCGAGGACCCCATAAGGAGCCTCACCGCGGCATTCTGCACCCGCTGGAGTTTCTGGGTCAGCTTCAAGGGCAGTCCTATATCAGGAAGTTTTAGTTTGAGCCAAAAGGGCACTTCTCACGTTTCGTAGACGAAGGTGAAAGTACCCTGGACCTCAATCACATTCAGAAAAAAACCACAGTCAAATAAAATACGGTCAACTACACAATCAATTACAATAATAAATCAAAGAGTTACCAGCTCTTTAACTATTTCATCGGAAGGAATCTGGTTTTGATTATCACTTTGGATCATCTTCTGAGCATTGCAGCTTAATGGTCATAGCACAGGATCTAGACAAGAGAACAGCAAAATAATTATCTGCTGAGAAACCAGACACATAAATGTCAAAGCCACCGATCTTAGAATAAATGGGAAAGACAGTGTTCAACAATGTTAACTTCCAGAGCCATCACCTTGATAGGCCCACATGAAAAAGGCTACAGAACCAAGAGTAAAATTATGTATTTCAGGTTTGGGAATGCCTGTTTCCTTAGATAACACAAAAGTGGGGACAAGGGGGAGAATCTCCCCCTCCCCTCCTGTCCCATCTGATTTTGCGCCAGTTCATGTGTTCTCAGCTCCAGTTTCAGATCCTGTGATTCAAAGACAGCGGGGAATCGGTGTGGAATAATAACTGGGAGGGGAACGGAACGGTTGCGGCTCAAACTTCCACAAGTCTTGTGATTCTGCTTCACCTGAGTGCACATGGGGCATGATCTCCAGGCATCCTACAAGTGTCAGAGAGGACCAAGCAGCTACCTTTCTACATGCAGGGAGCTCTGTTCACGTGGAGAGTTGATTCCCAGCTTTCCCATCCCTGGGGTGGTGCAGGAGGTGGTATAGGGAGAGGATGGGGAGGGGAAGGACCATTTAGTATATATTGCCACACCACTCCTATTTACATGTGGAGAGAGGAGCCTCTGGGGCAGAGGAAGCTGGGCCAGCGTCCTGCAGGCCCCAAACAGATGAACCATTTCCACTGAATCTCCTGGTATTTCTACATTTAGTTGTAAAGAGCTGCAGGGCCACTCAAATTGGATCAGGCAGAGGTAGAAGGGGGCGGTGTTAACCTTTCCGCCCTATTCCATTTCCTCAGTCTAAGGTCACATATGCACCATACATTTAAAGCACATGGCTCCCCCCTCCATTTTTTAAATAAGGTAAAGGTAAAGGTAACCCCTGCCCGTAGGGGCCAGTCTTGCCAGACTCTAGGGTTGTGCGCCCATCTCACTCAAGAGGCCGGGGGCCAGCGCTGTCCGCAGACATTTCGGGTCACGTGGCCAGCGTGACAAGCTGCATCTGGCGAGCCAGCGGCAGCACACACGGAACGCCGTTTACCTTCCCGCTGGTAAGCGGTCCCTATTTATCTACTTGCACCCGAGGGTGCTTTCGAACTGCTAGGTTGGCAGGCGCTTGGGACCGAACGACGGGAGCTCACCCTGCCGCGGGGATTCGAACCGCCGACTATGCGATTGGCAAGTCCTAGGCGCTGAGGTTTAACCCACAGCGCCACCCGCGTCCCTATTTTTTAAATAGTAGCCCATATAAACAATAGTTAAAATAAATGAATATGCAAGACTCCATAGCAACCCTCCAACCTTCATAAAGTGCACCTGCCTCTTCCATTGCTGTATTTTCATACAGCTTTTCCAATAACTAGGCTATTATGTGTATCCTCCTCACTGTTAAATATTTATAAGCGTGCACATATATGGAGATTTTGATTATTTGGCATTGTGTTTTACGGTTTTTTTCATTATATTCCAAGTATTCACAACTTTGGGGACCATGGGGAAACAAAAAAGCAGCATAGAGTAAATAAAGATTTAATGAAAATCAGGAGCGAATTCAAACACAGGGGGTTGGACTAGATTACACTTGGGCTCCTTCCAGTTCTACAATTCTCTAAGGTGTCAGACATACCTCTTTGGGGAGGGAGTTACACTGGCTTAGGAGCTGCCACAGAGAAGGCCCTGTATTTTCTTCCAGTTTGCTTCCAGTGGATTCGAAGACACTGTGAAACACATAGTACAGCGTCCAAGGATGTGAGATGCAAAATTCCTCACTTGAAATGTCCCACACAAAATCACCTGGTGACCTCAGGCACACAACTATTTTCCCTTGCCCCCCCCCATGAAGAAATCTGCAATACAGAAATAACAGTGACACACCCAAAAGGCTGTTTGTTATCACTATTATTAATAATGCTAAAATTTGAAGTATATGGCAACCTAGGAAGAACTTTAAAACAACAATATTCCAAAAGAACTCCCATTAAACAATCCAAAACAAAGGAGCATTTCCTTAACAATATATTATGATCCACACTTACAATCACTGACACAGTCACAATCTCCATTCATTCCGTCCCTTCCGGCTCCTTCCAGCCACCTCAAACCTGAGGGTTTTGTTTTATATTTTATAAGGCCATTACAAATTCTTTAAGCAGCAAACAAATCCCATCTTGGGCTGCGAATCCTGGAAAACCTGCTTCCTGCCTTGTGTACTTTTTGATGTGGTTTTCCTCTTTTTGTACCTTTATTTTTAAATCTGTTACGATTTACGTGAAATGGTTCCGTTTGGTTGCGTGCTTTTCAATGCGTTTTATCGTTTATTACTACTTACGCTTGTATTTATGTAAAGCTTTTCTGCGTGGTGTAAGCCACCTTGAGCCATGGTTTGCAACCATGGAAAAAGGCAGCAAGAGAAATAAAATGAAGGTATGGACACAGGTGTGGAATATGGTTTCAGGGGACACTAAAAAAAAAAACCTTCCCCCCCCCAAGTGCAGCAAAAATGTCCACCTTCTTTTCTACAACAGCTGCAATCCTTACCCCCACTTACCCAGGAGTAACATCCACTAAAATCAACGGGGCTTGCCTCCGAGTAGACATTTTAAAGTTTGTTTACTTATTTATTACAGTGGTACCTCGGGTTAAGTACTTAATTTGTTCCGGAGGTCCGTACTTAACCTGAAACTCTTCTTAACCTGAAGCACCACTTTAGCCAATGGGGCCTCCTACTGTCGCCACGCCGCCGGAGCACAATTTCTGTTCTCATCCTGAAGCAAAGTTCTTAACCTGAAGCACTATTTCTGGGTTAGCGGAGTCTGTAACCTGAAGCGTATGTAACCTGAAGCGTATGTAACCCGAGGTACCACTGTACATCACAACAAGCCAGTAAACCCACAATGGCCAGGACTGTGCTGAAGCACCTCAGTTTTTGTGTGTGTTTTTTAAAAAAGAAACAGTGGGCTAAAGTGGGGTAACTAATCCGGGGTAAGAGACTTCATGCATGCTCTCCTAAGTTGTGGGGAGAAGCAACCCCTCTTTGCATAGGGCAAGGAAGAGGATGTGCAACGCAGCTACCCCATGGGAAGGGGAAATAGAAAGAGGGTAACAGCGAGGTCAGTCCCTTCCCTCTCTCGGGCGGGGTGCCAGATATGGGGGAGGAAGGAGGCGCAAGGCAGTTGCCTAGCAACGGCAGGTAACCCACTCCTCCTCCCTGGCGGCCGCTCAACCTACCTGGAGCCCAGAGAGATGCTGGCTGAAGCCAGGCCGGGCTGTGTATCGTGAGCTGGCCCTACTGTCGCCTAGGCAACGCTCCTCCTCTCTCCCCGCCCGCTGCCTAGCAGCAGCCAACCAGCGTCGACAAGGAGGCAGGGGCGTGTGTGGCGTCACAGGGGCTCCACGCACAGACTGGAAGGAATGAATGGAGCGGCGGGGAGGAGCTTCCATTCAACCTCGCGCGCCCGAAAGGGCGCGGTCTTACCTGAGTCCGGTGGGACAGGTGTTCCGGGGCGGGTGGGTTTGAAGGTCTGGAGCAGGTTCATTAGGAAGGAAAGGCAGGCAGGCAGGTTGCAATGGGGGTTGTTTGAGGGGTTGTTTGTTTTGTGTTTTGCTCACTGGTAAAATAAAAATAATTATTTACGACACCATACGATAATTTTTATTGTCATTGTCCCATACAGAACAACGAAATTGAAAAAATCTACATCATACATTCGAAAACCAACAAGCCTGCTATCCCAGCTATCCTAGCCTGGTTAGTCCCCTAAAAACGTTTAGTTGTGTCTGCCTCTTCGTGACCCCATGGACCAGAGCATGCCAGGCACTCCTGTCTTCCACTGCCTCCCGCAGTTTGGTCAAACTCATGCTTCATGGTTTCACCAGAAGCGGCTTAGTCATCCTGGCCACATGACCTGGAAAAACTGTCTGCGGACAAACGTCGGCTCCCTCTGCCTGTAAAGCAAGATGAGCGCCACAACCCCAGAGTCATCAGCAACTGGACTTAACTGTCAGGGGTCCTTTATCTTTTTTTACTTCAATAAAATCTCAGGCAGCCTCTGGCAATTTCCCCCCATTTTATTTTTGTTGCATAAAATTGGTGATTAAGAATAAACCACAAAACTCTAAAGATTTAGGTTTCTGATTTGATCCTGGAATGTCCCACTTTTCCTTAAAGGTAAAGGAACCCCTGACCATTAGGTCCAGTCGTGACCGACTCTGGGGTTGCAGCGCTCATCTCGCTTTATTGGCCGAGGGAGCTGGCGTACAGCTTCCGGGTCATGTGGCCAGCATGACTAAGCCGCTTCTGGCAAACCAGAGCAGCGCATGGAAATGCTATTTACCTTCCCGCCGGAGCGGTACCTATTTATCTACTTGCACTTTGACGTGCTTTCGAACTGCTAGGTTGGCAGGAGCAGGGACCGAGCAATAGGAGCTCACCCCGTTGCGGGGATTCGAACTGCCGACCTTCTGATCGGCAAGCCCTAGGCTCTGTGGTTTAACCCACAGCGCCACCCACGTCCTCTAAAGTGGTTTACAAAGAGGATAAAGTGATAAGAACAGAAGCCAGCCGTGGCGGCATTTGCCAGCCTTGCGCTTTGCATACTGCCTCTGACAGTCACTGATAGCCTTATTCTCCTCCATGAATTTGTGCCATCCTCTTTTACAGGTGTCCAGGTTGGTGCTCATCACTGCCTGCCATGGGAGCAAATTCCATTGTGAAAATACTTCCTCACACAGCACACAATTAAACCTGTCTGTCCTGAATCTTGCAACATCCTGCTTCATGAGATGACCCTGAATTGCAGCACAGTGGTACCTTGGTTCTCGAACGCCTTGGTACTCAAACAACTTGGAACCCAAACACTGCAAACCCAGAAGTGTTACGGTTTGTGAACTGTTTTCAGAAGTCGAACATTCTCCATTTTGAGTGCTATGCTTCCGATTTGAGTGCCACACTTCCATTTTGAGTGTTATGCTGAGGTCTGTCTGTTTTTGCTGTTTAGTTTGCGTTTTTGTTTTTGCAGCTTTTTTGTTTTGTTTTTGTGACTCTGTGGAACCCAGTTCAGCTACTGA